TTGGCCAGCTGCCTGCCTGGGGAGGGGCCACACCTGGTGGTGGTGCTCAGGGGCTCCTCCTGGCTCTGTGCTCATGGGTCATTCCAGGTGGGGTGCCCCCCATCCCCCCCACTAGCTCTCAGACGGGACCCAAGCTGCCTTGGTGGTGCAGAGCGTGGCCGAGGGCTAGGGAAGCAGAAAACGCTTGTCACTGTTACCACTGCTCAGTTTGGAGAAGTGCCGCGACTTACTCTAACTTTAGACACAGCCCGGGTGGGTGTGGTTTGGTTGCGCGGCCAGCCAGCCGCAGTGTCTCGGGCAGGCAGACTAGATAAGCGCCCGGCACAGGCGTCGCACACATGCAGCCGTGACAGCCGCTGGCCGGGCCACGAGCACAGGTCCAAGAGGAACTCAGAACGGGGCAGCGCCGGGCGGAAGGGCCTGTTTCCACCCAGGGTCAGCGGGAAGTGCTGACCGGGCACCCAGAGCCACACAGCGATGTCCTCCTCAGGCCAGCCTGCGAGAGTATGGGGGGCACTTTGCACTCAACTTTTTTGGTCACACCCAGCTGCACTCGGGGCTGACTCGTGGCTTTGTGCTCAGAGCCAGATGAAACTTAGGAGGACTCCTGGTGGGGCGCAGGGAACCAGATGGGATGACGGGGGTCGAACCTAGTGTCACCACGCCAGGCACGTGCCCTACTGTTCCCTTAGATGATTTTTTTTGTTTGTTTTTGGGTCACACCCCAAGATGCACAGGGGTTAATCCTGGCTCTGCACTCAGGAATTACTCTTGGCAGTGCTCAGGGGACCATGTGGGATGCTGGGAATCGAACCCGGGTCGGCAGTGTGCAAGGCAAATGCCCTACCCGCTGTGCTATCGCTCCAGCCCTGATTTTTTTTTTTCTTTTAAAGATCAACATTGACTCTTGAACACACAAACGGCTGTTTTTGAAACAATGTTTCACAGGATAAGTAGTTTTTCCTGGGGTCAGGTAAGATGGGCATTTCCGAATTTAGAATTTTAAAACAACTTTCACTGTGTCTATTCTGGAGCTTCCTGTGGTGGTCACTTCTGGCAGTGTTCAGGGGACCAACCCCTGGGACTCCAGCAGACGAAGCACTACCGAACTCATCATCAAATATTCCCTGAGCCCCTAAAATAGCAGTGCCTCAAATGGGGATTATTTTGCATTTGTTGGGAGTTTTCAGTTTGGAATCTCAAGAGCAAGAAACCCTGTTTTTAAGCAGACGTCTATCTCCTTTCTATGTGCGTATCTGTAACTTAAGGCTGCAGGCGTATTTTTGGGTGGGAGGTGCAGAGATGGAGCCCAGGACCTCCTCAATGTGAGCCACGTGTTCTGCCACTGGGCTTAATGCTCCGCGTGAAAAATCCCATCCAATTAACATGCAGTCATTTCCCCTCATCCATCCCTCACCTACCTTCTCTGCCAACCCAACACTGGAACTGAGCAGGAACTGGATCCCCATTTGGAACTGAGTCGAAGCAGCAGAGATGGACCTGACAGGCTGCCCTGCATATATTAATCGGTGCTCCAATGATTTAAGAATTTTTAAGAAAACACCAGATTGCCGTCTGAAAGTAAAAGCTTGCCACGCTCGTCCAGCGGTGTGGGGCAGTTGAATGGTCTGGATTTGATTCTCTCTGTTCATTTCTGTCATAGGAGGCCTGGGTGTGGTCCGAGGACTCTGATGGGCAGCTGTCTCCTACGGAGTGGTCTGTGTCCAGCCTGGACTTCTGTTCCTATTTTGTTTTTGGCTTTTTGGGTCACATCTGACAATCCACAGGGGTTCCTCCTGGCTCTGCACTCAGGAATTACCCCTGGCGGTGCTCAGGGAACCCTATGGGATGCTGGGAATCGAACCCGGGTTGACCACATGCAAGGCAAACGCCCTACCCGCTGTGCTATCGCTCCAGCCCGTTCTGTTCCTACTTTAGAACACATCTCAGGTGGTGGCCTGTACTTCTAGACAGTGAGTGAACAGAAAGAGGGCAGGGGCAGCTAGAACTCCACCCGACTCCAACCGGCTGTGAAGCACTTTGAATAGCTATTCAAATAAACTTTCTAGGCCTTAGAAAACATGCTTTGCTCTCCAAGGAGGGAAGGCCATTTATCAATTCCTAACAGTTTGCTGAGAAATCTGTAGAAAATTAACTGGCTTGATGCCACTTGTGTCAAAGTTTCATTGACTATTTAGCTTGTTTTCTCAAGACTCTTTCCTCTGAGTGAAAAATTGTACGTACTACAGAGCATTTCGACTACAACTTCACCACTGCAGGTAAAGAACCTTCTTAACGATAATGACTCTAGTCTTCATTTGGTAAGCAAAATCATGATTTGCCCCAAAAAACATTATTCTGATGCAATGTAGACAACAGTATTTTGCAGTCCGTCCTCCGAATTTTGCCTCAGTATCACAGTGGTCTGGGGGCATTTGGACTACATAACTGACTTATAAAATCTGGTCCAACTCTAGGACTTAATAGATCAGAATCATAAAATACTAAACACTTTCACTATGTATGATTTAATTGTATCTATTTTTGGTTAAACGTTATTACAACAGACCTTCAGATGTAGCTAAAAATAGAACTGTAGTTTCCCTCATAAATATTCTGAGGATAGAATACTTGTCAGAGCTCCGTGACAGTCCCCTCAAGCCCTACGTGCTTCTTCCGTGTTCACTTCTATCCTGAGGTTTTGTCACTGCCCGACCCCATCCAGTCTGAGTTTGGAGAACGCTGTGAGACGGAGCTGGCAGGCTCTGCTGCCTGAGGAACCTGTGTGTTCTAGGGAAGTCGTCTCTGGGCTTCATTTCCTCCTAAAATAGAAAGCCGGGGGCTGGCCCCACTGATCTCTGAGCTTCCTTCTGGTGGCAGAGTCTATGACTTGCATTTTGGTTGTCATTGTCAGCAGAGGGAGCACTTTTTCTACATCTCAGACATCCTGTCATTTCAGTGCCTTTCAGAACTCATGGGACTCCTGAACATGAGTGGAACGAAGAACTGACAGTCCTGCCCCCGGTTTGCGATGAGTCACAAATCTGATTGTAAATTTGAGGTTGAAAGTCTCGAAACAATCATTTCTGTGTCTTGAGCTTCATGATAAAGTCCCATGATAGGATTCTTGGATAAAGGCTAGGGGTGGTTCGCAGAGCCCAAGAAGCTCGGCCAGCTAACTGGCAGTGCGTTCAGGCAGGACTAGTTTTTTTCGAGAAACAGCAGACCTTACCACAAGGGCGACCTGACGTCAAAGACGAAAGTGAGAAAGTCCTCAATCATCAAAACTCGGCCCAACCGGGTCTCACACAAACCAACCCCACACGTAACTCTTGGGCGAGTCCTTTGCACTTTCCACCACGAGACACTAGCAGCAAGTAGGCAGGCCAGCACCTGGGGGCTTGGCACCCCATCCTTGAGAGAATGGGCTAGGTGCCGGGAGCCGAGCGGTATAGCGACTTTCACCCCTACACTCCCTTGGGCATCCAGGATGTCTCTTAATTACTAGACAGTCTCATAGCTTATATTAAAGTTTTTATTCCTTAGTAAGAATTTTAAAATCACAAAAAGAGTGGGGAGATATTTAGGTAATAGAATTTATGGAGTGTTGAAAATACTCAAATAGAAAGGATTTCGAGTTGATCTTCACATAGTAGAACTTCTCTAAAACAGCTGGTTTCTTGCACAGTATTTATTTATTTTTTTTAATAATTTAAGACAGCATAAGCTTGTACCAAGCATAAGCATTGTAACAAAAGTGCGACTTTTCAGCAAATCCTCCCGAAAGATATCTTAACTCAAAATATCATTAGCTCGTATCTTCTTCCTACAAAAATAGCATGTCAGATATTATTAATTGGATGTATTAACAACTATGTACATAAGAGCCACCTTGTAGGCTAAGAGTTTAACGTTGTTTAAACACAGCGTTTGAGGCAAACAGTAGCAACAGCAGCAGCAAATGCACCAAACTGACTAAAAGACCCAGATATTTTCTTCACTCATAGACTGTGTGTGTGTGTCTCACCCCTTACATAACATTCAAGTGAGATTTCTCACAGTGCTACCTTGGCAACAAACTAAAAATATCTAGACAAGGTCTTGGTGTAAGCCTTATTTTAAAAGCTTTCTTTGTGATTATCTGGTATCTGGTTTGGTCTCCACAAAACACACAGACACGGCGCTGGGGAGGCCACACACGCTTCCGGCCCGCAGGTTCCTGGCGCTGACCTGCCGGGCTGACCGCTCCCCTCCACTCTCCGACTTCCCAGGACAGCGGATCCATCAGTTGGGACTTAAAGTTTCCTTTCAGTTCATTGCACTTTTTTTGGTTTTGTTTTTCCAAAGAGCAAATTGATGAAAACGTGATCGATTCACCAATGACGGTGGGAAGAGTTGCACTCTGCGTACGTCTCCACACATACGTATCTCGCGTCTACGTGCAATGAAGGGGAGCCGACAGGTTTCTGGTCAGTTTCTCAATAAAGTGCTAGCCAGTGTGCCTCCTCCTCCTCCGTCTCCTTCCCTGACTGAATCCCCAGGACCGAGTGCAGGTCCCCACGGGGTAGCATTCCAACCGCCCTGCAGAGGCCGGGAGGCAGGGCCTGCCTCCCTGCGCCTTCTTCGGCGTGCCCGGTGGAGGGATGCGACTGCGGGGGGCGTCCCCCTGCACCCTGGCGGGCCGGGCGCGCCCCCCAGCTCCCGGGGGAGGAGGAGAAGGAGGAGGAGGAGGAGGAGGAGGATCGGGGCGTCTCTCTGCAAAGGAGCGTGGCCTAAGGAGGGCAGGCGAGCTTGCTGGGAGGCGGGTGGTCGACAGAGAAAAGCATCCGGAGGCCGCGGAGGCGCCTCGACAGCGGGGGCGGGGGCGGGACGGGGCCGGGGGCGCGCGAACCGGACGCCGAAGGACACCGGACACCTGCGCTCGGGCCGGGGCGCGCGAGGCCGCCGTGCGGGCGTGCGTCCGGCGCGCGTGACCGTCCGTCGGGGCGCGGGCGGCGGCGTCAGGGCCCGTCCCGGGGCGGCGGGGGCTCGTCGGGCGCGGCGGCGGCGGCGGCGGCGGGGGGCCCGGTGCAGGGCAGCGGCCGGCGGCCCGGCGGGGGCGCGGCGGGCGCGGCCGGGGGCTTGTCGGGGGGCGGCGACAGCACGGACGACAGGCAGGGGAAGGCGGCGGCGGCGGCGGCGGCGGCGGCCAGGCCCGGGTAGAGCAGCGGGAAGGGCGCGGCGGCCGCGGGGTACAGGTACTTCTCCAGGCTCTTGTCCAGGAAGGGCTGCACGTAGGCGGCGGCGGCCGAGGGCGACAGGAAGTAGAAGGGCAGGCAGAAGGGGGCGGCGGGCGGCGCGAAGGGGGCCACGAGCGAGCCGAGCAGCGCGGCGTCGGGTCGGAGCAGCGCGGCCGCCGCGCCCGGCTCGGGGCCCAGGAGCGCGGCCGCCGCGGGGCCGCCGGGCGCGCCGGGGCCGTCGAGGCGCGGCCGCTTGGGCGCGGGCGGCGCGTCGTCCCCGGGGGGCTCCTGCTTGACGGCCACGCGGCCCGCCGCCCGCGCCGGCTCGGCCCGGGGCTCGGCCTCGCCGCCGTAGCCGCTGTCGGTGTCCGTGTCGTGCTCGGCGGCCAGCTCGGCGCTGGGCTGAGTCCGCTGGATGACCGGCACGCAGTGCGCGGGGGGCTCGGCCTTGGGCACGGCGGCGGCGGCGGCGGCGGCGGGCGCGGCGGGGGGCGCGGCGGGGGGCGGCAGCGGCGGCGGCGCGGGCCAGAACTGGGTGGCCACGGCGTGCAGGTGGCTCACGAGCTGCACGCAGCGCGGCTCCCGCGGCGTCCAGCTCTCGAAGCGCGCCAGGTACTGCAGGACCTCCTTGGCGCACGTCTGGAAGCCCGAGTGGAAGGCGTCCAGGTCGGCCTGCAGGGGCGACTTCAGCGAGCGCTCGCCTAGGGCGAGAGGGGGCGGGGCGGGGGCGCCGCGGGCCGCGGTCAGGACGCGCCTCGGGGGCCAGAACCCGCCGGGGGGACCGGGGAGGGGGCGGCGGGACGGGACGGGACGGGGCGGGGCGGGGCGGGGGCGCGCGCTCCTCCCGGCGCCGCCGCCGCCGGAGAAACCCGCGCGGCGCGAGCGCCACCTCCACTTCAAGTGCGAATCGGCGGATTCCGCCGAGTTCCCGGCGGAAAGCCCCCCCCCCCCCCCCCCAGGGATGCTGCCGCGGGGGAGACCCCGCGCGTCCCCGCCAAGGGAAAGGAGACGGATCGTAGAAAGCAGAGTGGGCGCGCGGGAGGCCTGGGGCGGTGTGTGTGTTGGGGGGGGACCGCCCGCTGCCCGCCTCCCCTACTCCCCCCGCACCCCACCGCCGACTCACCATTCTGTAAAGCAATTATCTTCTGATGCTGCTGCTCGGTTAAGGCTGTTAAAGCTTTCAAGTGTTTCAAAGTTAATTCCAGGACTACGGCTTTCTCCAGATGCCCGAGAGTCTGCAGGGAGCGGGAGGGAAGGGGCCTCTGGTTATTTAAGGGCGCACGGGCTGGCCCGCCGGGCTGCCACTCAGCCCGGGCAACTTGGGCAGCTGGGGAGGAGTGCTGTCCCCGGGCTGCCCGGCTCCCCGCAGGCAGGCCGGCGGAGATCCCAGCCTCCGGTTACCGGCTCCTCCTGCAGTCCCTGGGAAACTCTACGCTGGCACAAGTTGAAGGCAAATGATATTTACATTTTGTTCTTCTATCTGGGAGTCGTACCAGGCTATTAGCGCGCCCTTGGAGAGCAGCAAAGAATGAAAATGAGCATCTTACTGTCAACTTCAGATGTTCAGGCAGTAAATCTTTCAGCTGAGCGATGCATTCATTAATTCGGTCTCTCCGCTTCTTCTCTATTAATCTGTGCGGTAATTTGTAGGTATCCTGAACGCGAGAGAGTCACAGAAGACAGTGAGCCCAACGTTCACTGGAAATAACCACATTCATCCTCCCCTCTGGGGGGGGGAAAATACTACGCGGTAGATAAACTGTTCCCAAGAAAGCCCCTACCTCTGGACTCTCCTGAAAGGCGATTGAAATTCAGGTATGATGTCGAATCCCCCCCTTGAGAGTATCCAGCAAACCACTTAAAATTCAGAGTCAGGGAAGCGGGAGAGCTGGCACAAATCTGCGGGCAGAGCTCGCCGTGAAATCAATAGCCCTAATTAACGAGCCGGGCAGGGGCTGGGAACGGCGGAAACTTGCACGTACCTTGCTGTCGTCTCGCTTCATGCTCCTCTTGGGCTTACACAGATACAAAGAGGAATAGTCCAGTCTGCAAGAGAGAAGCCAGCATCAGGCAGGCGGGCAGGCGGGCGGGCAGGCGGGCAGGCAGGCAGGCAGGCAGCAGGCAGCAGGCAGCAGGCAGCAGGCAGCAGGCAGCAGGCAGGCAGGCATCCACGCCGGGAGGGGCTGTGCCCTCGCCCGCCCGCTCCATGCCACTCTCGGGAGAGGAAGGGGGAAAGCGGCACGGAGCGCCAGCCGGGGGCAACGGAACACCCAAGTGACGCCCAGGCCGGGACTGGCACGGGCCGCCTGCACCTTACCCTAGAAAATCCCGGTGTTCCAGCAACTGTCTCTCCTGCAAGTGGGGGATTCCTCCGTCCATGTTCTCCCGCGGTCCGTCTCCTCCGTTCCGCGTCTGGGGGCTCCGCGATCTGCGGGACCCGCGCCCGGGCAGCTGTCGGGGGTGCTCCGCGCGCCTCCAGCCTCTCCCTCCCGGGCGCCGGGCGGAAAGTGGGCAGCCGCCGCCGCCGCCGGGGCCCCCTCCCGCCGCGCTGGCGCTCGGGCACCCGCGCACGCAAGCCTCGCGCCGGCCGCGCCGCGCCGGGAGTTCGCTCGCACTCCGGGCAGTGTTTGGCCACAGGGCACGCGCGTCCCCGGCCAGACCAGCACCCGGCTCACGTGCGGAACGTACCATCCGCGGCCCGGCCCGGAGGGGGGCGGGGAGGAGGGGCCGGGCCCGGAGGGGGCGTCGGAGCCGCGGCGCGGGGGCGGGGACACCTGATCGCGGCCACCGGAAAGGAAAAACAACTTCGGCCAAGCGCGTCCTCCTCCCCCCGGGGCGCCGCAGTCGGCCGCGCGCGGGGGAGGGGCGCGCGGGGAGCCGCGGGGACGCCGGTCGGTCCCGGCCCCGGCCGGGCGCGGGGCTCCCCCTTCCCCTTCGCCTCCCTCCTCCGCCCGGGTCCCACCGGCCGCGCGGCGGGGGGTCTGGCCCGGGGAGAGGAGGAGAAAGCGGATTCGCGGTGGGTAAACTTCAGTCCCGCAGGACGCGCCGCCGGGAGACTTGTTTGCTCACCGCTCCGGGGTGCGGGGGTGGGGCGGGGGGTGGCCTGGGGCGGAGCGGGCCGGGACCCCCCTCCCCGCCCCAGTCCCCTCCCTCGGGCCCCCGCAGACCCCGCGGAGCGGCGGCCGGGAACCCGCTCGCTCGCTCTCTCCGAAGGGTCTCCTGGAGAGGAGAACGTAGTCACTGGGTCAGACAGGACGTCGCAATCCCGGCGACCCCCACCCCCCCCTCCCCGGGCCACCCAAACTTCCCAGCCGCCGCCGGAATTGCGGTGGCACCAGCCACAGCAGCCGATGACGACGTTCGGGGCCTCTGGTGCTCCCGGAGGAGCGCGGCGGGGGCGGGCGGGCGCGCGGGGGTGGCACGAGAGGGGCCGCCGGGCACGCCCGGGTGGCGCGGCGTGCGCCCCCGCCCCCCGCCTCGAGCGCGCTCCGACGCCGGGCCCACGTTTACTACCGCTGGCACCGCCGCGCGGCCGCCCCCCACCCCACCCCCACCCCGGCCCCGGCGGGGACCGGCGGCACAGGGCCGGCAACGTGACGCGACCCGCCGCCGCCGCTGCCACATCACGGCGCGGGGAAGCCGTGCGCGCGCGCGCCCGCCCAGCCGGGCGACCTGTCCCCGGAGCCCGCCCCGGAGCGTGACTCACCGCCGGGGAGAGTCCCCGGAGGTGCCCGGCGCGGCGGGCAGGGGAAGGCACGTCGCCGTGCCGGTGCCAGGCCCCGCCGGGCACCCCGCGCCCCGGCCCCCCGGGGGCGTGCGGAGACGCCCCGCGTGGCTCCTTCCCACCCCCCCATCCCCCCGACCCCCGGCACAGCTCCACTACTCCCCCCGCTCCAGGGCCCCCGGGACGCGGTGACCGCCGGGGGCAGCAGTGGCCGGGCCTGGCGCGTTGGCGGCGCGTCCCGCGGGTCCCGCGGGCGGATCTGGGTCGCGGGCGCGGCGAGGTCACGTGCGCGCCGCTGCAGTCGGCGGGGCCGGTCGGGGCCGCGCGGCGCGCGCTCGAGACCCCCCCCCCCAACTCAGGCCCGGCTCGGGTGGGGGGCACGGGGTGGGCACCGGGGGAGGGGCAGGGCCGTGCGGATACACCCGAGGGCGCGTGCTCGCACCCTCTCCTCTCCCCACGTCCGGGCCGCGGGGCACAACTCTTGTCTGCCTCTCCTGGCCCCACGGCGGCGGGAGGAGGCGCCTTCCGTGGACGTGGGAGCGTGGAAAGGCGCCCCGGAGGCTTCCGAATGTTCGGGCCGGACTGCAGTTATCCCGGACCTCAGGCTTCCCTTGAAGGCGAGGCCTGGAGTAGTGGGTCAGCGTGAAGCGGGCCCGCGTGGACCCTGGGGACTTGGGCCGGGGGTCGGCCCCGGAGCAGTTGAAGTCGGAGGAGGAGGGATGGGTTGGGGGGGATCGTTGTGGGGGGCAGTTCCCTACCTCCCAGACGGCGGCCTGGGGCTTCATTCATTCCCTACTCTAGGTTCTGCAGCATTCATTCCTCGCCCCAGGCCCCTGCACGCCTCTGCGCTCCTCAGACAGAACGCCCAGCGCTACACTATTCCAGTCCCCCCAACACACACACATACACACACACACACACACACACCTCTGTGTGCCCCTCCTCCTCCTTATCCTCTGTTCTCACCCCACCTCTGTCCCTCCAGTCCTCTCCGCACGCTTGTCTTTCATCTCCCTGACTCATCTTGCTGATTTTTTCTTTTCTTTTTGCTTTTTATTGGGGGGGGGGGGTCACAGGGGTTACTCCTGGCTCAGCACTCAGGAATTACTCCTGGCGGTGGTCTGGGGACCCTACGGGATGCCGGGGACTGAACCCGGGTTGGCCGCGTGTAAGGCAAATACCCTGCCCACTGTGCTATCGCTCCGGCCCCTCTTCTTGCTGATTTTAAACTCAGGCCCTGCCCCTGGGGCCCTGGCCTTGGGAGGAGTGGAGCCCCTGCTCCCCAGGTCCCTTTGTCACCAGGGGGGGGTCCTGCCAGTGCGTCAGGCCTCGTCATCCCCAGCCCGGGAGATGGCATTGAGCCGGGAGTCGGTCCCCCGCATCCTCCACCGTGACTCAGGGTCAGAGCAGTGAGAACCAAGGTCCCCGTGGGAGGCCAGTGTTCTCGGGATGTTTCAGCGCTGGGGACAGCTGTGGGGATGGGGGGTGTCCCACAGGGTAGGCTTGTGAGGAGAGCGTCCCTGCTGGGGGGTGCTGGGGTTCAACCCCTCCCCGCCCCCACCCCAGACCGAGGGGCAGAAATAACCACACTCAGAGGGTCTGTGTCAGAAGTGTGGGGAGGGGTGAGGAGAGTGGTTACACGGCCGCCCGTTCCCTGGGGACAAGGTGGCTCCTGGGGGAAGGACCCTGGGCCCCTCGGACTGTGCTTGGGGGTTGCAGTCACTTCCGCTCCTCTGAGCCTGTCCCCAGGTGCTGCGCCAGGGGTGGAGTTTTTCAGCCCGACCCCAGCGGTGGAGGCTCTTAGGTCGAAGGGAACTGGGACATCTGGGGAGGGTGTCCCCATCTCTTTGGGGGCTGTGGACAGGGAGTCCTGCTTTCAGGCCACTTTCTGGCTGCTCTCAGCCATCTGGGGTCTTGGCGCTGGCATGCCAGCGGTCTGCTTGGTGAGGGTCCGCCAAGTGCAGGGCCCGTCTGGCACCCCCATGCATATCTGCAGCCTCACTCTGCCCAGCCCAGGTTCAGGCACTGTCTCTGCTGGGGGTCCCTGCCCCTGGAACCGGCCCCCTGTGCCTCTGCTCTGCGGGGTCTGCGGGACAGGCCAGGAACAGGCGAGTTTAGGCCGTTTCCAAGGAGAGAGGCCGGGACAGGGCAGGGCCAGGCTCTGCCCCGAGGATGTCTTTGGGTTCTAGGGGTGTTTTGATCAGGGTGCAACCCCCCTGACGGAGGACGGCCGCCGTGGGGTTTCTCCGCCCTCCTCACTGTGTTTCCCCTGCGGGTGCTCCCTCTCTGATCCCACAGTTGGCCCCGAATCTCATGCCATGGTCTCGCATTTTAGTGAGTTTGCACCCGTGGCCTCCTTCGGGGGTGGGTATCTGGCCCCCCTTGGGGAGTTTGTCCATCTCCAGTAGTTCCAAGGGCCGCGAGGCCAGGTCTTGTGTCCACCCCCAGCCCGAGGGGATTCTGGGGCTTCTCAGATCCCCGTTCCCTCTGCTGGCCCCTGGGGTCCCTTCGCTGTCCCGTCTCTCTGCCCCCTGCCCTGAACACTTGTCTCTCCCCCCCCGTGACTCGGGAGACTTGCTCCCTGTGAGCCCTGGGGACAGACACCCTTGCCCGGGCCGCCTGGAGCAAGAGTGGACACCCCATGGCCCTGGGAGGGCCCCTCACAGGCCCCGGGAGAGAAGCTTCACTGCAGGTGCAGGTCAGAGGGGCTCGCCGTGGGGCGCCCCTGTGAGTGGCAGCGTGGCGGCTCCCAGGGAGCTCTGGCCAAGGGACAGGCCCTCCTGGACAGGCCCTCCTGGAGGGGGCGTCGGGCCCGCGCCTCTGGCGCTTCTCCAGAGTGGGACGCTCCGTGCCCAGAAGCCCCGTCTCTGCCAGGCGTCCCCAAGCCAGCCCCGTGCCTTCCTGGGGGGGTGAGGGGGGGCAGCCGGGCGCATTCTCAGGTGCCCCAGAGACAAGCCGGGCCGGCCGTGTCCAGGACACGGTTCTCAGGGGCCCGCAGTGGGCGGCCGGGCGCCTCTCAGGAGGGGCATCCCAGGGCCCTGCCAAGCGCCGGTTCCCAGGAGGCCCGAAGCAGGCGGCGCAGTGCCAGGCCTCGGAGTCGGGCTGCGGACAAAGGGGAGGCCAGAGGCCACGGACAGCGGCGTTCGTGTGCCAGGCGGGCCCTCCCGGGAGACAGAGGTGAGGCGCCCCCAGACTTACAGGAGCCTGGGCAGCGGGGCATGGCGGGGTGGTGGGGGGGGTGAGGGAGGGAGAGAGAGGGAGAGAGGCAGAGACAGAAAGGGAGAGAGGGAGAAACAGATACAGAGACAGAAACGGAGGGAGAGAGAGAGGGAATGACACACAGAGGGACAGAGAGAGAGGGAGAGAGAGACAGAGAGGGAGGGACAGAGAGAGAGGGAGAGACCTCACCCCTGCTTACCCGGAAACACCGCCCTCCCCACCCCTCTCCTTGCACTCAGCATACGGATACAAATTTGGGGGTGACCCGTGTTCTTTATTACAGTTTAGAAAGTGCTTCTGACAGTCGAGGCCACGAGCCTGGACTCACATGTCCCCATCCTGCAGAGAGGAGCAGGTTGGGGGTGGGGGGCTGGTCTCAGGGCCTTGGGTGACCGAAGCCCAGAGGCAGGGCTGGCACCAGGGTCAGCAGGGTGGCACCACACACCCCTGCAGTAGGCACAGCCCTGGATGTGCCTCGGGCCCTGGAACTGAAACCATCCCGCCCCCACCCCTGAGCACTGCTTAGGAACCTCCCAAAGGTGTGCAGACGCTGGAGCAAGTTTCTGGGTGCTCTGTTGGAGTGGGGTGAGGCCGCGGGGTCCTGCCTCAGAGTGGGCGAGCAGTAGTCGGTGGTCTCGGGTGCCCCGTGACCAGGGTGCTTGGGTCAGTTTATGGGGCCTGAACACAGTCTGCCGTCCCTGAGGGGTGAGCGCTGGCTTCAGTGCCTGGGACACTCTGTGCCTGTCCCAGCACAAACTGGGCTCCGGAGGCTTCTCCGGGACTAAGGTGCAGTTTTCCCGGATTTGGTGGTCCAGCAGGGGGTACACTGCCGGCTGCTCTCTCATGCCCCCAACCCCCAGGCTGTGGGCAGGGCTGCGGGGGGCTGGGCCCCTGGTTCTCCCGCCCTGGGTGCAGAGCAAGGCCCTTCTGTGTCATCAGTCA